TTTAGGCCCCGAATATTAGTTCCCTACAAATAAAAATTAAACAATTAAATATACCAAGCACTCTTATAATTTAAATGTTTTTATTACTTTTGGTTCTCCTAGCTTATTTCCAGGTCAAATACTAACAGTTCCTAACTTTTCTGATTAATCGGGAGAAAGAGTAATCTAAGTACATTACCTCGTAGGGCTTAGGACTTTTTCTGGCTTTTTTGCAGTGGTATTCATAATCTGCAGGGATGTTTAGCCTTACTCGATTTACACAGCCTTCTATGTTGGCATGCATGGAATCCACTTGCATTTGAGTATGCCCAACCTCTAAATCACTGGTCAACAAAATTTTAACTTTGTCGTGCCACACGGACTTTTTTGATATTTTTTACTTTAATTGGTGATTGTAAGAAAAAATGAACAGTTAAAAAAAAATTGCTAGTCAAGGATTTTATTCTATTGAGTACTTTAAAATATTGAGAAAAAACAGATCTCGTAAATCAAAAGTTATTTTTTTTTATAAATGACTTAATAGTCTAAGATTTTCTTGAATATTTAGCTTCTGGTTGGTCCCTTTTAATTGTCCAGCAGTAATCTGCTAACATATTTGGGCTCCATTTGCCCTGGTACCGCTTTTCCATATTAGAAATGTCCTGATGGAACCTCTCACCGTGCTCGTCGCTGACAGCCCCTAAATTGTCAGGAAAAAAATCCAGGTGCGAGTCTAAAAAATGGATCTTAAGTGACATGTTGCAACCCAATGCTTGATATGACAATAATAGCTCGCTAACCAACTCTCTGTAGCTGTCACTCTTGTGGTTACCCAAAAAATTTGAAACAACATTTTTAAAAGCCTTCCATGCAGATGTTTCTAAATCGCTCAATTTTTCTTCAAATCTTGAATCTTTTATTAACTCCCTAATTTGAGGGCCAACAAAAATACCCTCTTTTATCTTTGCATCACTTATTTTAGGGAATTTTTCTTTTAGATACAAAAATCCACTCCCATTACAATCCATTGCCTTCACAAAATCTTTTATTAATCCTAATTTGATATGCCATGGTGGTAGAAGCACATTATTTGGCTGTACAAGGGGTAAATACTTTACGTTTTTTTGCCCAGGAACTAACGATGCACGCGTAGGCCATGTTTTTTTTATATAGTGATTAGTTCTGTCTCGGCTATCCCATTCACATAAAAAGCAGCAAAACTTTGTATAACCCATCTGAAGTCCAAGTAATAGTGCAACAACTTTAAGATCACTGCAGATTTTGAAGGAATATGTAGGGGGAGTCCGGGAGATTTGACCAGGTGGGAGATATGCTCCACACCGCATAAATCATTTTGAATTTCGCGCGATTTAGATCACTGACAGGCCGCTGCATGCCTACTCGATGCTTGTCACACACACGGCGCCATATTGGCTTCTAGCAAAACGGTTCTACAGTTAGCGAAGGAAGCACGTGTTTGGTGCTAAGAAGTTAGAAATTAGAATATTTTGAGTTTTGACGCCACGTCTTTAAATAATCAGGTATGAAATGACCTTAATATTAGTTAGATTACTAAATCATTCTAGTTTTGAGAACCAATTGTGTTTTATTCCTCAGCTTAAACTAATTTCCGTAATTTTTAAATCGAGTAAGCTAGGTCGGGTTAGGGAGACTTGACCCATCATGCCTAGGGAGATTTGCTCAGTGGTTCAAATGTCCCTTTGTTGTGTCCGACAAAAAGAGAATCGTTTCAACTCTTTTTTTCAGATATGCCGTTTCAATACAAGAGCAAATGCAGTTCATCTCGTAAAAAACTTATAAAACAGGAGCTGCAAAATGCTATTGCAGATGTGAAATCTGGTGCATCTCTGAGGAAAACAGCTATCAAGTATGGGATAAACAGGACGACTTTACGTCGGTACACAAAAAATGAAGAAAAACTGAGAGTTTTTGATGAAAAGGGTAGTTCGCATAAGGCTTCTCAGATTTTCACAATTCCAGAAGAGAGACTGCTGGTTGGATATTTAATAAACTGCAGTAAAATGAATTATGGTCTTACTCGTATAGAAGCGATGAAATTAGCTTATGAATATGCTTCATCAAATTCCAAAAAAGTTCCAGACAGTTGGTCAAGAAACTGTTCAGCTGGAAAAGACTGGTTCCGTGGGTTTCTTCATAGAAATAAAGAAATAAGTCTGCGAACGCCTGAAGCAACTAGTTTATCAAGGGCGACTAGTTTCAATAAGAAGAATGTTGGTGACTTTTTTGATAATCTGAGGCGTGTTCGGGAGAAATATAAGTTTGAACCACAAAATAATTTTAATTGTGATGAGACAGGATGTACTACTGCTCAGGACTGTCCAAAAGTGTTAGCAAGCAAACAATCAAGGCAAGTGGGACAAGCAACTTCTGCTGACAGAGGAACTCTTGTAACAATTTGCTGTGCAGCTAATGCAATTGGGAATGTCATACCACCATTCTTTGTATTTCCTCGTGTCAAATATCGGGAAGATTTTGTATCTAATGGACCAGAGGGATCGGATGGCGACGCATACTCCAGTGGTTGGATGACCAAAAAGAGCTTTTTGAAGTTCATGGAACATTTCAAAAGGTATTCCCGAGCATCCAAAGAAAATCCTGTTTTACTTATATTCGACAATCATGAAAGCCATATAAGCATAGATGTAGTCAACTTTGCCAAAGAGAATGGTATAACAATAGTAACGATCCCTCCGCATTGCAGCGGTAAGCTGCAACCGTTAGATGTTGCTGTTTATTCTTCATTTAAGTCACGTTATAACAGAGTTTTGAATAACTGGATGCTATCAAATCCAGGGAAATCGGTGACGATATATAATATACCGGAGCTTATAAAGACATTGATGTCAGACGCCTTTAGTCAGGCGAACATCCTTAGTGGGTTTAGAAAGAGCGGCATTCATCCTTTTAATCCTGATATTTTCACTGAGGAAGAATTCATGTGCTCTGCAGTCACTGACAGAAGTTTCTTGGGCGATGACGATATGCTTTCTGCTCATTCGACTCTTCAAGACCATTCGGCTCGACTGACTTTTTCTAATAGTATAGAAAACCCGTCATCTTCCTTTGACAATCCCTCTATGCGTTGTGATCAAAATGGTGCTCACTTAGATAAGGTTCCACTTGTAGCTCCGGCAGCAATAAGGCCTTACCCAAAAGCTTCGCCCAGGAAGAAAACACGGCATGGTCGTCAGCCAGGAAAAACAAAAATCTTAACCGAAACTCCTGAAAAAGAAGATAATCCTGTAGCTGATCCGGCAACTGTTGGGATACTCACCGAAAGGAACATTGAGGAGAACCGAACGATGGCTGCGAAAAACTCGAGGGTAGGAGGAATTAAAAAGAACATCTTTCAAGATGATGAAACAGAAACGCAACGGGAAGATAGTTCAACCATAGTCGAGCATAAATCCAGAAAGAGAAATTTCAGGAGTTCGACTGGAAATGGAAGCACAAGAAGAAAGACCAAGTTGAAAAAACGCGTTAAATCCAGTGAAACAGAATCAGAGGACGAGTGCGTTATCCAATATGCTGATAGCTCGAGTGGTGACGAGGCTCAAGATCCAAGTGACCCTTGGTATTGTTTTGTTTGCCAAAACGAAGAGGTTTTGGATATGCGCCTTTGCATTTCCTGTAAAAGGTATGCACATGAAATATGTGTTGGACTGACGAATAAAGACAATGAAAACTTCATATGCCATGAGTGCGACTGAAATTATTAATATTTGTGTTTTATGTGTTGATGACACCTTAGGTTCTAGAGAAAATTCAACTTTTTGTTAGTTTTGTCTTGGATTATTCCAACCCAGCAATGAATGTAGAAGTTTCGTTTGTAGTTAATGCTGATATTCTAAATAAACTATTTGAGAGTTGAAAACAGTTTGTCTTTATTTCTCTGTATATATATATACAGAGAAATATATATATATATATATATGAAAAATTAAAGCTTACGCCTTTTGTTGGGTACTTCGACAAAATTTAAGCAAAGAGGACTCTTTATACTTTTTTAATTCTCTCTAGCTTTCAATGGACTTTGCCATCATCATCAGGAGCTGCAATTACAATGATAACAGTAGCAACAAAGGTGTAAAGTGAATTTAAATTGACTCAACTTACAGTAGTATGTGAGGATGTTGCTAATTGTTGTTTACGTATAGGGGGAAACGTAAACAACAATTAGCAACATCCTCACATACTACTGTAAGTTGAGTCAATTTAAATTCACTTTACACCTTTGTTGCTACTGTTATCATTGTAATTGCAGCTCCTGATGATGATGGCAAAGTCCGTTGAAAGCTAGAGAGAATTAAAAAAGTATAAAGAGTCCTCTTTGCTTAAATTTTGTCGAAGTACCCAACAAAAGGCGTAAGCTTTAATTTTTCACCTAACTGGTCTAGACGACAATGACCACGTCTCAAGTTATATATATATATAAGGATGTGGTCAAGTCTCCCTTATGATCGGGTCATCTCTCCCAGGGGTTGGGGAGACTTGACCCATATATCAATTTTTCGAAAATCAATAGTTACAGCTAAACCACTAGATTAATAGCGATTTCTATATCACACAGTAATAGCTATTAGGCAATCTGACGCACATGTCTTTGAGCGACCAAGTTTCAATGAAGAATTACAGTTTTATGCATGTTGGAGTTGAAAGGGGTCCAACTCTCCCGGACTCCCCTACTGTAATTTATTTTTTCAAGTAAAAGTTTCATATTTTCATAGGTTTCTTTCATATTTGCAGCATGGGCCAGAGGTACAGACGGAAGCTTATTTCCATTATGCAATAACACTGCTTTTAGACTTGCTTTCAAAGAATCAATGAATAAACGCCACTGAGTTAAAGTTAAATTTTTCACACACGTTATGCAACAGACATGAGGGGCCCAGGATTTGTCTTGATGGGCGACAGAAAAACCAAAACATTGGTGATAACACTCCAACACAAGATTCGTAAAATTTCGTCGTTTTTTTTGAATGTTAGTTCTCCGCAGACCTAACAAAAAGAGTTAGGATCATTATTACACTTCCTCGACATATTCACAGGGTTAATAAATCACAAAAAAGTGTTCAAATTCAACAAAAAATATTTTTATAAGGATTTACTTGTAAGCGTTTCTGTTAATTTACTGCCGTAGTACTAGTTATGAGTATTACCGTATCGCAACAAATATGAGGCTAATAGACATATGACAGCTGTCATGTAATAATGAGGGTAGACTGATAAAACAAAATTAGCTGTCAAAGTTCGTGTGGCAAAACCAGTGTTGACCAGTGATATTTATTCTCAAGTGTAATATCATGTTTTCTGCATAAATTTAAAGCTGCGTTAGCCAAAGTCACGTTTCTGTTCTGGTACGTACAACCATCACATTATTATCTTTTGATCATCTTTTTCCATTGTAGGAATGACTTTTGTTTCCAAAAATAAGTAGAAACATGGCGAAAATTCTTCTGCGGTTAGTCCACCCTTCCCCTCATGCCATAAGAAACAATTTGTTGAGCATAGTTATTATAAAAGCAAAGAATGTGAACGCATAATTTTGTCTTGTTATATGAGCAGCTAATATTAGGTTTAGGAGACATTAAAACAGCTTGAAGAAATCCTTTTGTTTTTCTGCTCTGGCCTCATTTTTGCTTAATATATGAGCGTTAGGGTTAGGGTTTTCCTTTATACGACGTGTAGCTCTTGAGAAAATAAGCGGATTTTCTTAGTAGCATATACATCAAAGGCTTAAGAGAACCGAGATATTGGGCTCCGCAAACTCAATCAAACCTGAACCAAACCGAAGACAGTCCTAACCCTCGATCTAGTCCACAGCGCCAGCGTACAGTTATACGACGTACGACTACGATGTAAGTACGCTGGTATGCAACCTAACCTAAACGCCGGTAGTGTAGGTCAACAAACCATTACATTGGTAACCGATTGCTGTTAAAAAATAAAAAAAAAATGGCACACTCATACAATAATAGCTAACTCAAGAAGTCAATTTCATTAAAAAAAACAATAATAAATGCTGATACTCCCAAATACGCCCAAACGTAATTTAAGAGGAAAGCTGCCACTCCAACATAACGGTAATTTTGTTTACTACATACCAAAATAAACATATTTTTACAAAATCAAACTTACCTTTCATCAAAAAGGATTACCGGATACTAATGTCAAACTGTGATATTTCAAAAAGAAGCCACGTTTATTCTAGAGCTGAAGAGCATTTGAAGAGCACACGTGCACCTGTCACTTTGTTTTGACTGGAGATAGCAGTATTTCGATGAATAAAGTGTGGGGAGCAGTAGGCAGCTTTACTCATCATGGCCTTTCAATCAGTTTTCGTACGAACTTGACAAACATTTAGTTTTCGTATGATAGAAAAGGAGTCATAGTTGTCAAATAGATAAATATCTCCAATGTGATGGAAATGGAGTTAGCAGTATAACGTATTTAGCAGACCATTTGACACATTTTACACGACTTTGAGTAGACCACCCGACTTGCCCGCCGCCGCCATCAGATACCTGCAACATTTTTACTTAATATTCACTGATTTTTCTGTGTTGGTTTCATTTATTTCATTGTTGTTTCATTGCATTATCATGCCTAGAGTTTATAGACGCACTAATTTCCCTCAACTTTCCAAGTTCCCGAGCCGGATTTTCTTTTAGAGAAATCGCTCATCGTGTGAATCGAAACCAACCAACTGTAGTGAGATGCTGTCGAGTGTGGTTCCGGGAAGGCCGAAATCAAGCTAAAGTTACTGAACGTCAAAGACCGACCACAGAGCGACAGGATCCATATTTGAGGCAACTAGCTCTTCGATTTTCCCAAACAGGCGCAGTTGCGAACCAGTGGTTTGATGCTGTCGCAAGGGCAATAAGGTCTTCTGGAATGTTTTCATACCATCCCCATCATGTACTTCCTCTGTCCTCACAGCATCGTCGGCAACGGAATATGGAATGGAACTTAGTCGTGTTCAGCGATATGTCCAGATTCTGTTTGGGCGCACATGATGGCCGTGCAATAGTAAGGAGGAGACGTGGTGAATTCCATCGAACGGTATATTCATCGCACTGTGGGTGTTATGGTATCGGGTGTCATTGCTTAAGGCAGCAGGTCAGGATTAGTGTTCATTCGAGGTAGCATGACTGTCCAGCGCTATATCCACGAAGTTTTACAACCACATCTGCTTCCCTTTTCGGAAACATGGCAAGATCCACTTTTTCAGCAGAACAATGCACGACCATAGACTTTTTAGAAGCGTTCGAAGTAAATCTGCTTCAGTGCACCTTCAACAAACACTGGAGGCTCTACGAAACCAAATTCAGATGGTCTGGGATGCCAAGAAGACATCAATCACCTAATCCAGTCAATGCCGCGACGACTTAACGAATGTGTAGCGAACAGAGAAGCTATTTTGGGAAATTCCAAGTTAAAATTTTAATCGCTTTCTATTTATCAGTAGACCTAAAACTTATAAAAGTATGCTCAAAATTCCATCACTCCCTGTCCCTATGTCATTTTCATCATAATGAAATACCAAATACTTTCAATAATATATTAGTAGATACTGGTGCACTCTGGGCGCCCCCCACCACTTCCACTTTTTGGCCACGCCCACCACATCCACCGCGTGCTCTGATTGGCGGATCAAACGGCGGGAAATTTGAACGGGGTTGATGGTATATGTTGATTGGCGGGAACCGCTAGATCCACCGCGTGCTCTGATTGGTGGATCAGACGGCGGAAAGTTTGAACGGGTTGATGGTATATGTTGATTGGCGGGCCCCGTTAGATGGCGCACCCGACCGGAAGTGATTCAGACAGCCGACGATAGTAAGGTGTAGTATAACGTCTATGCGTAAGCGATGTGACTCATTTCATGTTTTGCGGTAAATATTTGCATATAGATCGATAAAAGCCCATGAATAATGATATTTATAGATGCAATTCTGCTGATTCAGTTTAAATGGAAAAACGTATAAAATTCGCGGGAAACAATGCGTATAGGATGATCTCAATAATCAACACGTCATATTCAGTGTGCATATAAAAATGGAATTGCTCATATATGTGGTGCATACAGTTAATGTTAGTTAATTTTTAACATTGATACAATATTGAAAACATAGTACAGTCTATATTGTGTATCTAATAAATTCAACAAGGCAATCACCTACGTCGCAAATGAGGTTAGGTTCAGGGCAGGTGTTGTCGTAGCGGTGATATGCAAGAAGTACCGGGCGGGGCTGTTAAGCATGGGTGAATGGGCAGGAAGCGCAGGCTGTCAACGAGTTAATACTGACCAACGATAACAGCGGTGACCTTGAAACACTGTGGTCAGTTAAAAAGTGGTGGGGGTAAAATCGAGATTATAAATACCTATGAATCACCGCAAATTATCTTGTCAGTTATCTGCAGCGAACAGACGTGCTCAGTTCAGATTTAGTCGCTAGTTAACGTTTTAGTTTTTAAAAAATGGAAAAATTCTTCATCGTTAAGGATTCTACTAAGAAGATTAAAAAATTTAATCTATATGGGCGAGAAGTGGAATTTAAAATACGACCTATCCCTAAAGACGTCGAACCTGTGGGATGGATCAAAGACGCTCTGGAGGAAATAGTAGCCAAAGGAACTGAACATCTCCAGCCCAGTGATCAAGTTGGATTCACTTTCTGTTCCAAAGACTTTACCCGCGGTCAAGGATGGATAGCTTTTAAATTGTTTTCCGACGTTTCAACTGAGGACATATGGGAGAAGATATCTTCCATCTATCAGTCAAATTCTGTGGGGTTGAATACCGAGACTTTTTGCTTGGGTATTACGTCCGTAAGGTTGCCTGCTGGTCGTGGTAGAGCTCAGAATTTCAATACCTTTGATGAGGAATGCGCCAAAAGAAAAGGCATTATCACCGTTAAAAACACCGATAATTTGTGTCTCCCACGAGCCCTTGTCATCGCCATGGCCCATTTGAACAAAGACAAAGATTATAGCAGAATCCGCCGTGATCGAGGAAAAATACAAGGACAAAGAGCTGTACAACTTGTGGAAAAGGCTGATATTGTTATCCCTGAGGAGGGGTGTGGAATACCTGAACTTCAAAAGCTACAACGATATCTGCAAAACTACAAAATTGTTGTATACAAGTTTGGGTGCAAAGGTCGTGACGTCATTTTTGAAGGCGTGTCCGCTGGTCCGACGCTTAACCTAATATATCACGAGGGGCACTACAGCGTCATAACATCCCTCACTGCTGCCTTTTGCTGCAGCTTTTTTTGTGAGAACTGCCACATTCCGTATAATACTAAACAAATTCATAGATGTGATAAACAATGTTATGCTTGTAAAAGATCTCCGGCCTGCCTGAAAACGAAGCACATCAAATGCAAAGAATGTAATAGAAGCTTTTATGGACAAGAATGTTTTAACGCTCATTTACCATCGGTCTGTTCTAAAATTAAAAGATGTGTAGACTGTTTTAAAGTTCACAACGGTAATGATCACATCTGCGGATATATACTTTGTAAAACATGTTATAAAAATCAACCAATTGAACATATGTGCTATATACAGCCTGACAGAAGTATTCCTAAATCAAATGATGTCTTATTAATATTTTACGATTTGGAAACCCGTCAGGAGAAGGAATTACCCAATGGATCTTTACTGCATGAGCCAAATCTATGTGTATTCAAACAATGTTGTGAATCATGTACCGATAATCCTATATGCAAGAAATGTGGCCTTCGATTACAGATTCTTCGATGTCAAGACGTCATTTCTCCATTTATGCATCATATTCTGACACTTCGTAAAAAATTCAAGAAAGTCATTGTACTGGCGCATAATGGTGGAGGATTTGATCATCAGTTTCTACTTCGTTACATTTTAGAGAAGACTAGTCTGTACCCGAATGTAATTATGAGAGGAACAAAATTAATATTGATGGAGGTAGGAAATGTAAAATTTCTGGATTCTCTCAATTATTTTCCTATGCCTCTAACTGCTCTACCCAAGGCGTTTGATTTGAAAGAGCTAAAGAAAGGATACTTTCCACATTTATTCAACACTTTGGCTCATCAGAATTATGTAGGGCCAATTCCAGCGCTCGACTTCTACGATCCCGACCATTTAAAGGAAGACGCTCGGGAAAAATTATTAAAATGGCACGGCGAAAGACAAGCGGAGGGATACGTTTTTGATTTTCAGAAAGAAATCGTTGAATACTGTATCTCCGATGTGGAAATATTGACACAGGCGTGTCTCAAATTTCGAGACCTGATGAAAACCGAAACCACAGTCGATCCCTTCCAGGAAAGCACCACTATTGCATCATGCTGTAACAAAGTCTTTAGACGCAATTTTTTAAAACCTGAGACGATCGGGGTAATTCCAAAAGGGGGCTATAGATGGCGTGAAAATCAGTCAAAAATTGCCATCCAATGGCTGTTGTGGGAGGAACATCAAAGAGGAATCAAAATTCAACACGCCGCTAAGGGTATAGAAACCATTGTTAAGGGACATAAAGTAGACGGTTTTTGTAGCGACACAAATCAAGTGTTTGAATTCCAAGGATGCTATTTTCACGGTTGCCCTCGATGTTTCAAATACAACAGAAGCAATCCTCTGCATAATGATCCGTTGAATACATTGGAAAGTCGATACGAACAATCAGTTAGCAAAGTAGAGAGACTCCGAAGCCTTGGACTAGAAGTAATTGAGATATGGGAATGTCAATTTCGAGGAATGCTAAACGATGAAATTAGAGCCTTCACAGAAGCACATCCATTGATAATCAATTTACCGATTAACCCCAGAGACGCTCTCTACGGGGGACGTACAGAAAATATCGTTGAATACTACAAGATCAAAACAAATGAATGCATAAAATATGTCGATATATGTTCCCTGTACCCCTTCATCTGTAAATATGGAAAATTTCCGGTGGGTCATCCAAAAAAAAATTTACGTAGGTGAAGAATGTGTTACAGCCTCTCTGTCGCAGATGTCAGGACTTATTAAATGCCAGATTCTACCGAACCAGAACTTATATCACCCCGTTTTACCGTCAAAAATGAACAACAAATTGATGTTTGTTAACTGTCAAAAATGTGGTGAAGATTTCGTTCGAGAAGAGTGTCAGCATTCTATTCAAGAAAGAAGCCTAAAAGGAACTTGGGTGATAGAAGAGGTGCTCAAAGCTATTGAAAAAGGTTACCAGATTATAGAGACTTACGAAATATGGGAATACGATACAATTCAGCTCAGTAAAGACCAAGAGGGGTTATTTAGCGGAATGATGAACAAGTTTCTACAAATAAAACAACAAGCTTCAGGATGGCCCAAACATTGCTTAACGGATGAAGAAAAAAACCGTTATATTGATGCATTTTTGGATAGAGAAGACATAAAGCTGGAATTTTCAAAAATTATAGAGAACCCCTGTTTGAGATCGTTAGCTAAACTTATGCTGAATTCCTTTTGGGGTAAATTTGCTCAAAAAGAAAACCAAAACAAAACCTCAATAGTCAGAGACTGTGGTGAATTCTTTGATATGCTGACTAATCCTTCTATTCATGTAAATACAGTTCTCCCGGTAAACGAAGAAACCCTTCTCATAACTTGGGAATTTAGAGAAGAGACCTATGACGTTTCTTCAACGGTTAACGTTGTATTGGCTTCATATGTCACGGCCCTAGCTAGACTAAAATTATATTCATTCTTGGAGAAAGTGGAAGAAAGGGCAGTTTACGTAGATACAGATTCATGTATTTATATCTCTCGTAAGGGATTAGACGACATATCTACAGGCGACTTCATAGGTGATATGACCGATGAGCTCAATGGGGGTTTCATATCAGAGTTTGTTTCTGGAGGACCTAAGAACTACGCCTACAAATATACTACTTTGTCTGGAGAGGAACAGATCGTATGTAAAGTAAAAGGCATATCACTCAACTACAAGGCATCCCAAGTAGTCAATTTTGAGAAAATAAAAGACATGGTGCTGAAGAAATCTGATCCTGTTTCTGTACTTTCTCGACAGCTACGACGTACAAGAGAGCATGCAGTAGTAACAGTCGAGTTTCCTAAGGTATACAAGATAACTTCAATGAAAAGGAAATTCTATGAAGATCATACCTCTGTACCATTTGGATTTAAGAAAATAAAGTATTGATTTATTAATGTATGTAAATATTTTTTAATAAACATGTAAAATAAAATGTATGCAAATGATTTTTTGTTTTTTATTTCCCGCCTAATTGAAAAATATTTTTGCACCCGAAATTGTTCAGCCTTTTTTACTCCATATAAAAATATTTAAAAGTATGCATTGTTATTATTAAACGCCTGCAGTAATATACACCAAAAAAATTGAGAAGCAGTGTAACCATGTGGAACTTTGTATAATCACAAAAAAACATATCTTGGAAAATAAAAAATACAGCAGATTCATAAGCAGTGTAGAGAGGAAACTACGTAAAAGTAATCGATTATTACTAATAAAATAGAGTTTTGAATTCCTATTTTTACAATAATAATCATTTTACTATCTTACGTGTTGGGCACTGCACTGCACGGGTACCAACACTGTACTGCACGGGCACGAAAAATTGAGAAGCATGATAACCATGTAGAACTTCGTATCACTACGTAAATGGTTATTACGAAAAGTAGAAATAAAAACTATATTTTCGATAATAGCTATACTATTTTTTATGAGCACCGAAAAAATTGAGAAGCACGATAACCTCATAGAACTTCGAAACAGCACCAGAGACAACCGAAGGCTACAGAAAAAAACACATACTGAAAAGGCATAACATCTATCAGCGCTGGTATCCGATAATACTGTTTCCTTTGACATTCGTTGGGATATGAAAACACATATTTGCTTCCCACCGTTATAACGGAAATAATAGTTACTGCAAAAGCAGTTTCACGATAAGACCATACATTAATCTACAAAGTTGATAATAAAACATATGTACTATTAAAATGCAGATATTTTTAAAATTATACAATTAAAAAATCAAAATAATATATTATAAATGGTAGGGGATACAGGGTAAACACCGAAATATACTTAATTTAGAATAGTTACTTATAATCTCCTCAGTTCTTTGGTCAGCCGTATCGACAATTTACCGGTGGGTCCTCTATTTTTGTGCATGTAAAAGGTTAGACTATGGCGCTAGCAAAAAAAACAAAATGCAACAAAGTAGAGTCACTTAATATTCTTGTTGAAATTACGGATAGAATATGGTAGAAAGTAACAATCAGATATTGTAGAAGCCATGTAATTGTTTAATTGTTGAGGAAAAAGTATTTTTCATACGCTGACCATGTTTATGTCCGCTTGGTACGCGACCAGATCTTTTCCAAACCTTTGCCCGTAGGGTTCATGAGCCTACGACCAAATGTGTCGTCGAAGGGGCATTTTTGGCCAAATTCGGTCGAAACCGATGCTGCGTTCGTACCCTAGAGCCTACGAACAGTGACTCAAACTTAATTTTAATTGATATGCAAAGATCTGGCTAGAATGCTTGAGCTAGTGATTATATGCAATTTATCGGTGACGAGCTTTCCTCTAGCATATCTTGATTTATTCAAGCGAATCAATGAGAAACTAGTGAATAAAATTACCTGACAGCCATAGTACAAGTTGGTATATCTACACCTTCTCTTACATTTGGCGCCACTAAAATGTTAATCTCCTTGTTTCTAAAAACGATCAAGTACTTATCTGTTCTTCTTATTAATCGGAAGTGATTCTACGGTGCTATTAAAAGAGTTTCCGTTATATCCCACAACGAAATCCGGCTTTATATGTCTGAACTCTGGTACATGTTCACTCAAATCTTTCAGTACATGGTGCAATATTTTTGGCAGTTGATCTTCCCTTCGTGAATATTAAACGACAAATGTCTTCGTTTGAAGATGAACTGTTGAAAAGTGTTACGTTTATATTAGTATTAATATTTATGACATTTACTTTTTTAAAATAGTTAAATACTACGATAAACTGGGAATGTGGGATGAAGCAGAAATGTTTCTGTAACCCAATTTAGGTATGTATAGCAAGTCTTACGCAAGACAATAATAAAAACAGATAGAATTCGAGGGCGATTCTTGGAAGAAAAATTCATAGTATTTCTAAGGCAACACCGACCGGAGTGCTATAATTTTAGCATACATTTACAGGTTATAGGTCTAATGATAAATAGAAAGTGATTAAAATTTTAACTTCAATTTTCGTAAAATAGCTGAGATATGCCATCTTGCAGTAGCCTGAAATGAAATACCCGACAGGTTACCCATCACCTGATAGTCTGTGGTTCTCGCCGCTAGATGACGCTACATACAAACGTCATCTGTCAAACGTTATGTGTATCATTGATAAGTGTGAGTTGTGTCTCTAAGCGCTAGATGGTGTCGATGTCGCACTGGTGTCGTAGAGTGACCCACATACAGGGGTCGATAGAAATTTTTGGGGCCCTACCGACGGGTCGATGAACCGACGGTATAACGTCAGATCGAAATAAGCTCCATTCACATGGGAGGTGTGTGTGGAATTGCTCGTGGGAGACACGGACCTTGTCGTATATAGCAAGACGTGTCCTAAAATGGTGATACCCATTGGTCGCTCAGCCATACAGGTCGGTCAGACAGAAGTTTTTGGGACCGGGGTGCTCTGATTGGTGGATCAGACGGCGGGAAATTTGAACGGTGTTGATGGTATAGCTGAATGGTGGACGGCGGGGTCGGGTGCGTTGGTAATCACCTATGTCGCAAATGAGGTTAGATAGATAGTCGTTCAGTGAAGGTGTTGTCGTAGCGGTGATATGCAAGAAGTACTGCTCGCGGGGGTGTCAACGAGTTAATATTGGCCAACGATAACAGCGGTGACCCTGGAACACTGTTGTCACACGGTTGCAAAAGATGACAGGTTATCTCTTAATTTTCGTAAACAACGATTTTTCTAAAGTGGTGAAAACAGGTCGAAATTTTAAATACCTATGAATCACCGCAAATTATCTTGTCAGTTATCTGCTGCGAACAAAACATGCTCAGCTCAGACTTATCTAAAAAGTGGTGGGAAAATCGATATTATAAAAATATTTATGAATCACCGCAAATTCTCTTAGACGTGCTCTTATCAGTTCAGACTTAGTTAAAACTGGTGGGTAAAATCGAGATTATAAATACCTATGAATCACCGCAAATTACCTTGTCAGTTATCTGCAGTGAACAGACGTGCTCAGTTCAGACTTAGCAATTCCCAACGCTCCTCCGTGGCCATTCCCCTTACCCTCTCGCGAGTGCGCGCATGCGCATGCGGCTCGTTCTGGTCTATAGACATATGATCGCTAATGATCTTGAACAAAGATGTCCTGATACACGAACCGCCAGAGGTACATCAGAAGTAATGTTAGTATTGTGTGTGCGTGTTTTTTGAACACGCTAAGTCGTGATGTACATCACGTGACGTACGTCACGTGACCTACGTGACGTGCGTGTGACAGGTGACGTACGTGTGACAGGTGACGTGCGTCACGTGACACGTGACGCACGTGGCACGTGACGTGCGTCACGTGACACTTAACGCACGTGGCGTACGTCACGTGACACGTGACGTGCACACTTTGTTCAAAAATACCAAAAAGCTGTCATGATAGCCCGAACCGCCAGAGGTACAACATCAGAAGTAATGTTAGTGCGTGGTTGAGGTTCAAAAACTTAGCGTGTTCAAAAAAAAAAAACGTACCTAGACCAAAAGTCATTCTAGACCAGTCACTCTAGACCAAAGCACAAAAAAAACGCCGTTTTTCAACGCCTTTTTTGTCACCATTCCCCTTAGTAGCGCGCATGCACATGGGGCTCGTTCTGCTGGTGCTGGTGCTGGCGCGGGCGTAGATAGCGTTTGTGGTAAGGGTTGGGGTAGGTCTTGTTCTCTTATCGCGCACGAGTAAGTTTGTTTGTTGTGTACATAGGAAGAGTGTATTTACATACATTAATATCAATACTTTATTTTCTTAAATCCAAATGGTACAGAGGTATGATCTTCATAGAATTTCCTTTTCATTGAAGTTATCTTGTATACCTTAGGAAACTCGACTGTTACTACTGCATGCTCTCTTGTACGTCGTAGCTGTCGAGAAAGTACAGAAACAGGATCAGATTTCTTCAGCACCATGTCTTTTATTTTCTCAAAATTGACTACTTGGGATGCCTTGTAGTTGAGTGATATGCCTTTTACTTTACATACGATCTGTTCCTCTCCAGACAAAGTAGTATATTTGTAGGCGTAGTTCTTAGGTCCTCCAGAAACAAACTCTGATATGAAACCCCATTGAGCTCATCGGTCATAATCACCTATGAAGTCGCCTGTAGATATGTCGTTTAATCCCTTACGAGAGATATAAATACATGAATCTGTATCTACGTAACTGCCCTTTCTTCCACTTTCTCCAAGAATGAATATATTTTAGTCTAGCTAGGGCCGTGACATATGAGCCAATACAACGTTAACCGTTGAAGAAACGTCATAGGCCTCTTCTCTAAATTCCCAAGTTATGAGAAGGTTTCTTCTTCCTTACCGGGAGAACTGTATTTACATGAGATAGAAGGATAGTCAGCATATCAAAGAATCACCACAGTCTCTGACTATTGAGGTTTTGTTTTGGTTTTCTTTTTGAGCAAATTTACCCCAAAAGGAATTCAGCATAAGTTTAGCTAACGATCTCAAACAGGGGTTCCTCTATAATTTTTGAAAATTCCAGCTTTAGTCTTCTCTATCCAAAAATGCATCAATATAACGGTTTTTTCTTCATCCGTTAAGCAATGTTTGGGCCATCCTGAACCTTGTTGTTTTATTAGAAACTTGTTCATCATTCCGCTAAATAACCCCTCTGGTCTTTACTGAGCTGAATTGTATCGTATTCCCATATTCGTAGTCTCTATAATCTGGTAACCTTTTTCAATAGCTTTGAGCACCTCTTCTATCACCCAAGTTCCTTTTAGGCTTCTTTCTTGAATAGAATGCTGACACTCTTCTCGAACGAAATCTTCACCACATTTTTGACAGTTAACAAACATCAATTGTTGTTCATTTTGACGGTAAAACGGGTGATATAAGTTCTGGTTCGGTAGAATCTGGCATTTAATAAGTCCTGA